ACTGCAGATATTCCAGAAAGCTCCGCCTAACAGATCTATACTCAATTCTTTCCCCTCAGGTTGTTCATGGAGTATTTATTTGACTTAAAAAGTCTTTTTTTGGGGGGGTGGGGGGTGGAGTGATCAGTGGATAGGGGTTTACTTTGCATATGTTCCACCTGGGTTCAATCCCCAGCATCATATATGGTCCCTCAGCCACCATGAATAAACCTGAGTACAGAGCCAGGAGTAAGCCCTGAGCACAGCAGGCTGTGGCAGGCTACTGACTGTCCCATAAGCTCTGCCCAACATACCTTTGTTCGAATTATTAGTCCAGAGGCTGGGAAGAATAATTCATCTGGTAAGTATTTCACTTCAGAGTTGCCAAAGGAGACTTAAGAAACAAACCAAATTCTATTTCCTTCTAGGAAAGATGGGGCCATCAAATTCCTTAGGGAGTCTAGAAATTGAGTCACGTACCCATCCGTCCTCTGGCCAGCCAATTAGCAATTTCTGTGCCAGGCCTGGTCAAGGGACAAATACCAACCCTCTACCCAAAGGGCTGTCAGGGGCCTGAATGGTCAAGCTAAGGATTTGGGCTCAAAGGCCATGAGGAATCAGAAAGGGCTGTGTCTATCTTCCTCTCAAAGTTTGCTTTGATTCTAAGCTAAGAGTCTTGACGGTTCTAAAAGTATATTCTATTCTTGCACCCAAGATAATCAAATTTTATTCTTTAAGCAAAATTTAAAATAAATTCTTAAAAAAGTTATTGATTAAAGAGTTTTTTTTCTTTTTGGGTGACAGACACCCAACAATACAAGGGGTTACTCCTGGCTCATGCACTCAGGAATCACTCCTGGTGGTGCTCAGGGGACCATATGGGATGCTGGGAATCAAACCCGGGTCGGTCGCGTGCAAGGCAAATGCTCTACCCACCGGGCTATCTCTCCAGCCCCTAAAGAGTTGTTTTTTTTTTTTTTTGATATATAGTATTTCAACCAACACCTTTAAGATGGAAAGAACAAGGGTAAAGATTCATAGAAGAGGGTTCTGAAAAGAGTCGGGGGTCAGCCCTCTCCCTGGATTGGAGCTGGGGAAACGGAAGCCCAGGGAAAAGTGAGCAGAAGAGAGAAGTGAGGGTCAGGGCTGGGGCCTCTGTTCCTCTTCCTCCTGCCCTTCCTTGGAAGGCCGCCAGTAGCAGCAGCAGCAGGCGGCAGGGGCTTGGCGGGGGCTCAGCTCCGGGAGACCGTGCCGTCTCTACGGCTACCAGGGAAAGAGGTGAGAGGCCGGAACCCTGCGAGGCCGCGTCTCTGGAGAAGGGCAGGCTCAACCTTTCCCTGGAAAATCACTCTCAAACACATCCCCACTCTGGGGGCACACAGAAAAGAGGCTGGAAAGGCAGGGCTGTCCCACCAAGAGAAGAATCCCATGGAAGGTTCTGGGCATAGCGGTGGGATCAGCAGGGCGCTCAGACCAGGATGTTGGTCAAGGGGCATAATCCCTCTTGAGATAGTGTCATTTTGGAGTCTGGAAAAGTATAATTATAGGAATTCACGCTGAGGAGCTGACATATGGCCCAATCTCTCTCCCTCACGCCACTACTGCACTGATGAGAGTTATAATTATTTGCCCGGGACTGCCAGGGGACCCTTGAGAAGGGCATGCCTTACCCGGGAGTTCTGAGAGCCTGGCAATGCTCCTCAGACTTGTCTCCCCAAGAGGCTTGCAGAGAGGGAGTCTCTGAAAAGCGGGCTTTGCCTTAAGGAAGGCTCTGGCCAAGTTACGGTCTCGGTCTCCATTTTACAGGAACGGAAACGGAGGCGTGAGGGAGGCATGGTCACAAAAGTGATGCCATAGGAGGCTTTTCAAGATCTGTTTTGCCTTGAACTCTTGTCTGGTCTACCCCAGCCCAATATCTGAAGTCCTTTCCCGATGCTCGGGACAGCCAGGGAGTGTGTCTGTGGCCTTCCCAGGACTGCCCAGCCAGCATCTGCTCATTTGAACCCACCTGTACCGGAAGTCTTTCTCCAGGTAAAGAGTAGCTATCTCCGCCTTGATACCTACAGGCCAAACTGCACCGCGCTGGCTTTCAGAGCAGTGGGGAAGCCGGTGCTGGGTGGAGACTGGTCAGGCTTGTCTCTGGCACTCGGGGGAGTACCCCTGAGTTCTTTCCTCTTTTCTGAGCAGTAACCCTTCAGACCATGTGGGGAGCCCCAGGGTGGGGACCCTTCTCTGACCCTGCCCACCACTCTTCCTTGCGTTCTGCATTCCATTCCTCGTCCTTCTCTGTACCCCCTCCTTGCCGAGCCTCCTCCTTCTCTTCCCTTCCCGCCTCGCCACCCTCACTCCTGGGATCCACTTTCCCTGCTTCTTGATGGCCCGAGATAGCCCAGACCTTGTCACATAGTGCTGCTCTCATTGCTCAGACGCTAGGTGGTTCCCTCCAGTAAGAATTCCTCCTGAAGGGGTCTGCACGGCCCGTCCTCTGTCCACCACGTCCTAGTTGCTGACGGGTGCAGTCTGCTGGAAACTAGAGTTCTCAGGGTCAAGTCTGGGGGCCTGACACCAGCAAGTCAGTCTTAGACATCCCCCCCCGAAACAGTAGCCCAATACTCCCCACAAGCTTTCACTAGATTGCAGATATGGGGGGCACCGTGCTTCAGGCCAGTCTCTTTAAGTATAGATGCTTCACTAGATGGTAAGAGACATGTGAACAGCTAATTGCCATTTCATTATATACCTCAGGTCTGCACGGACATCAGTCCTCACCAGACTAGATCACAGACTCCCCATAAAACACCCGAAACAACCCACAGCAGCATTATTGTTTTCTATTTATGGGGTTATCTGCCACATATCACCTCCTTTCTCTGTGCCCTGGACAATTCCCTGATGACACGGACTGTCCACCTTGTCCACTGCATGATTCCTAAGTCCAGTTCTAAGTGATATTCTGACAGGCCTCCAGGGACTGAGTAACAAGGCGCAAGTAAGGCTGGTGAGTACCAACACTGGCTCTCGACAGAGGCTGAGGAGAGTGCTCCGTACACTGGCCATCATCCACGAGTCGGTGGACTGGTGCTGCCTACAGGTGCAGAAAGACTGAAGAACGTGGCTTTAGACAGGCAGGCCTGCACGGATGGGGAAGACATCTAAGTAGTCTTCCTGAGAGGAGATACTGGGGCTCACTGTGGACACGGGATAAACCATAAAGCACATACAGGCTCGTCTGCCAAGGCACTATATTACCTTCCCCAACCTCAGCCACCGTCCTCAAGGCAGGGAGGCTGACTGCTCCTAATACGATCTTCACACTCCAAAGCACAGTGATTCCAGTGACCCCGAAGGCTGCGCAGCCACCGGTCTCACGAGTCTGCACTAGATGCCACAGTGATCAGTGGAACTGCAGGGTGTGGTTGTCTTTGGTGGTCCACTCTTCTCCAGGAGGAGGCAGGGCACTGCCGGGTCTGCCTGTAGGGACACCATGCTGAGCCGACAGCACGGCTGAACTAAAGGTCACTTTGGGAGGGAGCAGACAGCCGTTCCCTGCTGGAAAGGGCCACCAAGCTTTGGGAAGGCTTGTTTCCAACTCTGAAACAGGCCTGGCCTAAGAGAGAAAGCGGCTTTCTGAAGGAGAGCAAAATAAGTAATAATCTGGGCTTCATTTATCATCCAGGAGTCTCCCTGGGAGAGAAGGCCCACAAAAGCCTTTTCTGTTTTTGGAACGTGCACTTGCCTATTTTCCTAAGCCTTCCTGTTAGGCTAGAATCATGTGTTCCTGGAGAATTCAGGCCTGAGTCTTGCCCCTGAAGTCCTAGCAAGCCTACACTAGGGCTGAGTTATCTGGTGAACAAAAAGCATCCTTCTTACCAGTCATTCCTCCATTTGACTCTGCTGACCCATGAAAAAGTATCAAGAAACTCAGAAAAGGAGAATTCTGAGATAAAAACACGAGTCAGGCTGGAAAAATATTCAGCAGATGGAATAAAAAAATCAGATTCTTGGGGGCTGGAGAGATAGCACAGCGGGTAGGGCGTTTGCCTTGCATGCGGCCAACCTGGGTTCGATTCCCAGCATCCCATATGCCAGGAGTAACTCCTGAGTGCAGAGCCAGGGGTAACCCCTGTGCATCGCCAGGTGTGACCCAAAAAGAAGAAAAAAAATAAAATCAATCAGATTCTTGGAAAAGAAATTTAAAATGGACCTATCTTTAGCAAATTTTGGCTAGGAAATGAGAAAACTAGTAAGTATGATCAGGAGTGGGAAAAAAAGGGACAGACTATTGGCAATGAGGAGATTTTCAAGAGCAGTAGAAAACTGCACCAAACTCTGTAGCAAGAAGTTGAAAGTCTAGGTAAAACAGGTGAACTTATGTAAAATATTCCAAGTCCTCTTCCAGGGGTTGTCTCAGCAGCCCAGACCTGGGCAGGAAGTGCTTCAGCTATGCTTTCTAGAAGTAGGAGACTTGAGAACACTCAGCATAGGGCTCTCAAAAGACACGCTTTGTTTCAAGAGGTCACGGCCACGTACATATTGATGACACAGAACTGCCCTGTCCTGGCATTTCTAGCCATGGTTTTAAGTTCCCTGGTCGGACAACCAGGCTTAATTATTTTTCCACTTGCAATGCCATAAGGGGTTTCACTTTATTTTTACTTCAAAAGCAGTACCATAAAAATCCTTGATGATTAGAGCTCCAGCTGTCTTAAGTTGTTTGTCAAGGGATCAGTTACTCAAATGTCCTATGGAGGGAAACAGTTTCAGGCGAGGAGCCATGGAAGCTGAGAAAAGCAAATGCTTCATCTCTGAAAACTTTCAGACTCCCTCCTGTTCCCTGCCTGGCCTGCCCCGGCCTCCCTCCCCCAACCCAACCAGCTGCTCTCCCGAGAGCAGATCAAATTTTGGGGCCGAGGTCCTCTGGCGCCAAGGACTCGGCCCCAACATGCTACCCTCTGCCCCCCACCAACTTGGAAATCCAACACCACAACCCAAACGGACTACAGCCATATAAAACCACAAAGCAAAGTTTATAAAGCTTTATTAAACATTTCAAACAGCTGTGCAACGAACACACCAGAAATAGAAGCTCGAGAATAGCAGTCCAAATGTTCCACAAGTGTGGCCTCGAGGCCCCATTCCCTACATGGGCTGCCTCCAGTTCTGTCCTTGGCCTGGCCCACCTCCCGTCCGGTCAGGCCAGAGAAAGATGGATGGTTCCGACTGGAGGGACAATCATGCTGCTCCCAGGGGCAGAGGCCAGGAGAGAGTCTCATTTCCCAACACTTGCTACTGAAGCGCAGAACAAGAAAAAGGCAAGTGACAGTCACAAAGTCTTCCCGTGTGTTCTTCATGGGGTACAGTCTCTACGCGCAGGAATGGAGAAGCTCCTGGCATGAGGATGACGGCCACTGCTGCCCTCTGTCTTGTCTAAACCACCTCGGAGTCCAGTGCGCTGGTCACGCTGCAATTCCCATGCTAAATAAAAACTGTAGCAGCACCTACTAGAGCTAATTATCACTAAACCTCAAAAAATCAGAACACACTCCGTAAAGCTTCTTCAAAAGGAACACATGTGTATTTATACACACACGCACACACGCACACACTGCACACCAAAATATGTCCAAAAACTTTCAAGGGGAGTATGGCCATTATGAAAACGCACAAATCCACTCCCATTCACTCAGCTGGGGACTGCTAGGTCTAGAAGAACACAGCACACCTCAACCCTGCAGAGCATGCATGGGAGACAATGAGGCCCCCTCCTGCGGCCAGTCGAGACCAGCAGAAGGAAAGGCAAAGGAAGTGAGGTGGGGCCGGTGAGCAGAACCCCAGGCCTCAGATAAAAAGAGCAACATGTACCTGTTGCTTCTTAAAACAAAGTGGAGAAAACACTGGAGGTTTCAGGGCAGCAAACAGTCAAGACATGTTTCTGTCTGGCCTGCGGAATAGGGAAAGGACGAAAAAGCAAGGCTCTCGGCATCAGCAATCTCTTTAAACTAGAGATAAGTGCAAAAATGAGCCCTGTCTTGGACAGGTGCTCCCCAAAAAGGAAAAGGGTAGGAGAGGGGCAAAAAGGGGCTGGTAATAATCTGGGAAGGGTGGGACTTGACCAGGACAGGTCCCAGAGGGACACTGAGACTGGCATTTCCCTTGTCCATGTCACACCGGAGTGGCTGACAAGGACAGGCGAAGATTCCTCACATGACTGGTGCGAGGAGGGTGGCCATCCTGCCAGCTGGGGATGGAGATGGGGACAGAACACACACAACCACAAGACCACCCACGGCTATAGGACTCTACTATAAAAGCACCAGTCAGTGCCTTTATTCACATTATAAGGATAAAACATCACAGGCCAAAAATGGCACCGTCAGGAATGTGGCACCCGCAGGTCTGCGGGATTTGAAACTCCAATGCGTTATGACCTATGTCAATGCCTCCCCTCCCGTCTTCTGCTTCCTTAGAAAGTTAACTGGGCTGTTAGGTGCCCACCACACCAGGGTCATGTGCTGATTCCGGAAGCGGGGAATCAGAACAGTGGTACAGGAAACAGTTTCCCCAGCAGCTATAGCAGATGAGAAACAGGGCAGCCAGGAAAACCAAGGCACAAATTGTGCAAGGCTTCCGCTCCAGGAGGAAGCTGAGCAGGTAGAAGCCCATGAACATGGAGTGGCTGAACCACAGGGCGGGGTTGAGGGGCTTGGGGATGAGGAGGACGGGCAGCAGCCACTGGAGGCAATACATGATCTCTGCTGGGCAGGGCCTTCTCCAAGGCCGCTGGGCGCCGCTGCAGGAACCGACCTAATGGGAGCCAGCGGCCGCGGGCGGCTGCCCTCCGCTTTCTTCAACCCTCACTCTCCAGGAGCTGAGCCGCTGTGCTCTCTGGCTGTCAGCCTGGGATCAGCAAGGCAGCAAGGATCCTGGAGAGAAAAGTCAACACAACAGACAAACAGACAAAAAACAGACAGACAGAAACAAAAAAACAAACAAACAAAAAACAGGAACAGAATGTATACTTATTTGGGAAAATGGTTAACAACAGCAAATGTGAATGCCCATTCCTCCCTCCTTCCCAGGGAAGTCTCCTCTCCAAGTCTCCGGGGAGAGGGGGAGGGAGAGGGCTTCTCCACAGGGTCGGCACAGGGCACTGGCATAGCCTGGGCCCTGCCCAGCAGAGATCATGTATCGCCTCCTGGGGCTGCAGCCCGTCCTCAAGGGCCCAGACCTCACAACACCGCCCTGTGGTTGCCACCTGAGGGCTGCAGGCTCTGTGCTGCCCCCCCCCCCCCCCCCCCCCAGTAAAGCCCTGGCTCTGTATCCAGTGTCCCAAAGCAGTGCTGGTGGAGAGTTCAGGCAGCGGGCAACACCCTGCCAGCACGAAGCCACATGCAGCCACCAACACCAAATATTTAGTTAAGATGGCAGCCTGGCCTGAATCTGCCCTTTTCAAAGAGATATAAAGATTCTGGTGTATTTTGCTAAAACTGGCTAACTTCCTCAAAAGTCAGTGGGGGGGGGAGAAAATGTCACCATGATACTTTGTCCCAAACTGTTCTCCTTTGGATCACTCTCTCCATCTGCTGCTGGCACTCTGCAAAACTGACCCCTATGAGCTTTTAATCTACATTAATTTTCTATTCACAAAGGAGCAAATGCATGTTGGCTCAGGTGCCAGAAAGTTTGCCAGAGAGAGGTGCTTTGGAGCCACGGGGTCTCGCCGGCCAGAACCCTCTGGTGGCGGGAGCAAAATCCCGCTCTAGGCTCCAGGCTCCCGCCACCCCGCAAAGAAAGAACCACGCTAGATGAAAAACTACCAGAGCTCGGGGGAAAGGGAGCATAAGACTGAGGCTGAAACTCACCTGCCCAACATCAAACTATCCTAAGGAGCATCCCGACCCCTTTCGGGGAGAGCGCATCCCGTCCCGCATCCCGTCCCCGCCGAGCACAAAGGCGCCAAACCCCTGCAGATCCCGCCCGGCAGAGTTCCGCGGGGGGAAGACCACTCGGGCCCGAGATCGGTGTCCGAAGCCCGGCTCCAGCTCGGCTCCCCGGGCGCCACGGCCGAAGTTGGAGCCGCTGTAAGAAGCGGGACCGGGAGACCCCGGGAAAGGCTGCGCGCACGGGCTCCGGAGGAGCCCAGGGCGCAGGGACTCTTAAGAGAAAGAGCCGAACAGGGCTGGGAAAGCCAAGGCTCCTACAAGGGGCAGTTTTTCCCCGCCGCGGGGCAAATCTCTCTCCCTAAACTTTTGTCCGGCTCCGAAGCGGGACCCGGGGCTCGGATTTGCGGGCAGGGTTCGCCGAGGGGTTCTGCGCCGAGGCGCGCACCCCGACCCGGGAACCTTTGCGCTACTCGGTCGCTGCAGCTCTTCTCTGTTAGACACTGAGTCCGCACGGCAGAATCTTCTGGAAGAGGGGGGCCGCAGGGGAACTTCGGAGGCGGGGGTCAGTGTGGAAAGAGCGGGGGGGATGGTTTTCCCCCGTCTCCCCCGGCGAATGAGGAGTCGCCCCCGTGCCCCCTCCTCTCGGACCCTCCCCCGCGCGCGCGCATGCGCAGTCGGGCCGCGGCGGCTACTTAAGGCGCAGCCCCGGCGGCTGCGGCAGTGCGCCCAGCCGCGGACTCGGAGCCCAGCGCCTCGGGTAGCCCTCGCTCTCCGCACCACCCGGCACCACTCTCGGAACCATGGCGGCAGTGGCGGCGGCCTCGGCGGAGCTGCTCATCATCGGCTGGTACATCTTTCGCGTGCTGCTGCAGGTAAGCGGGCTGGGGCCGGGGGCAGAGGGGCCCGAGGTGCGCGCCCGCTACCCGCTTCCCGTCCGGCCCCTGCGCACGCAGACCCTACCCCCCGCGCTCGCGCCAACCCGGCCGCCCGGCTGGGAACAAAGAGTTGGGGCGCGGCGGGCGCCAGTCGCGGACTCTCGGCAAGGCTCTGGCGACCAACGTGGTAAGGAAAACCCGCTATACCCAGACTCAACCCCAGGAGGGAGGTGGGGCACTTCTTTCATGGAAAGATGTGGTAGCAGAGAGAGAGAGAGAGAGAGAGAGAGAGAATTTAATTGTGCGTTGTAGGGAAATTTGCGTTTTACAAATAGCGCTATGGGGATGGGGCGGAAAATAAGTTTTAATAAGGTGGGCAAGAAAAATCATTCACAAAGGAGAGAAAAAGTGATTCACTGGGGGAAAACGAACTAGAGAAAATGCGCATTGCAGGAAAAAATAAATCAGACAAAAGCACTGGACAGAAAAAAAATGAATTAGATAAAAAGCGCAATGCAGAAAAATTTAGACAAAGGAGCTAACAATAACGAAAAATCGGATAAAAACACCTTGAAGAAAAAAAGAGGCAAAAAGACCGTTTTTCAGGGAGAAAAATGATAGACCAAGGCTCGCCCAAGAAGAGGAAATTTCGTTTAAAAAAATCAAATAGAGGTAAAGCGCTTTGCATATCAAAAAAGAAGTCGGAGAAAAAACGCTTTGCCCATTGAAATCATTTTCCCTAAAAGCTCCCCTCTGCAGGAAGAATTCCCTGCTAAAGGGATTCCCGTGCCAAAAGAATCGCGTATTTCCTTCAAGGTGTTCCTGGAATGCTGCATTTACTGGGTAGGATTCGCTTTTCGAAATACTCCAGGGACACAGCCCATTGCGAGAAGTGAGGTATAACCTAAGTTGTGGGTCCAATCAGCTTGCCGCCATGCAGCCCTCAGCACAGTTGGACAAGCTCCAGCTGCCCTGACTCGTGGACGAGCAGCACCCGCGGCCAGCCCTTCCGCCCACTCGGACTGGCGGGCGGGGGCGGGGCGGGCCGGGGTGGGCCGGGCCGCACACGCACGCACGCGCGCCACGGGGACCCCGTTAAGGGCGCTCCTGCGTCTCTCGCCGCAGGTGCTCAGGTACTCCCTGCAGAAGCTGGCCTACACCGTGTCGCGGACCGGGCGGCAGGTGCTGGGAGAGCACCGGCAGCGAGCCCCCCACTGAGACCCCAGCCCCCAGCCCTGGGCGGCCGTGTCACCAGGTGCTCCTGTGCCTCTCGGCCAGCATGGGAGCCCGTGCCGCGCAGGAACGGGGTGGCCCCAGTGCTCGCTCGCCAGAGGAGCACTTGCCAAGGTCAGTGAGGGCCCCAGTGGCCCCCGGAGAAGCAGCACCGATAACGACACCACCAGATACCTCCCGGACCCCTTCGCACCGGTCCCACTGCCGGGCGGGGTAGAGGGGGGAGGGGGGATGGGAGGAGCAGCCCCCGAGATCTGGGCACAGGCACAGGCACCGCATTCTGATCTGGACCAAGTCGGGACAGCGGGACAGCGCCACCCCGCCTGCAGCCGGGCCATGCCAGCGGCCCCATCAGAGATCCAGATGACCAGCCACCAGTGGCGGGACATTCCAGCAGCAGCAGTCTGAAGCCTTCACTCGGCGGCCCAGTGCCTGTGTGGCGGGACTGAGGGCTCAAGGAGGGAGGAGGGTGGAGAGTGGGGCCCTCTCAGTGTCCCCTGCCTACAGAACATCCATTCCAGCCTTTGCTGCCTTTGCTCCCTCTATTCCCCTTGCCCCCTCGAGTCCCCTCCCCCTCACGGCCCCCAAACGCCCACCTCACACTAAAGAAATGTCACTCAATTAATTGGAACCGATTCTGGCAGTAAACTAACCCCCTCCTTACTAAACCACTTCCTAAACCCCCGTCCCTCACTGATCTTGCTTTTCCCTGGTCTCACGCAGTTGTGGTCAATGTTGTGGTAATCGCTAACCGTACTGACTGTGTAAGTGTGCATTAGTTGTGTCTCCCCAGCTAGACTGTAAGCTCCTGGAGGACAGGGACCGCCTCTACAAAAAATAAAAAACAGTGCCTCCCCCATCTCGCACAGTGTCCTGGACCCTGCGGGGTGGTGGAGGTGCCAAAAAAAAAATAAAAAAAACTCTTGTGACTTCTTTTTCGGCTTCGATCACACACTTCAAAGCCTGGGCTGGTGTGCCCCTGGAGGAGTGGGCACACTTCTCAGGGAAAGTGGGACCCCTCAAAAACCCAAGATCTGTCTCCCCCCGCACTGTCCTGAGATAAAGGACCCCTTCCCTTGTCTGGGCCCTGCATGTACAAGGAACCAGGGTGGAACAGAGAAGAGAGGTGTGATGTGAGCCTCTTGCCTGCGCTCCTGCCACTGACTGTCACCTCCCCCAGCCACTCTGAGAGCATCCTGCTGGCCCTCTCCCCTGGCCTCCTTTCCTAGAGCCTCTGTCACTGTCACTTTCCTCCCCTGCTTCTCCCAGCACTCCCTTCCTTACTCTTCAGGGCGCTTACCAGGTCCCTGTCCGGGACTGTCCCCTGCCATCAAGTCAGGGTGGGCGCTGGGGTGCCGCTCACTCCCGACTGCTCTGCTCTCCCACTCAGCAGCAGTCGGGGCTCCTTTGACGGCTCCTTTTACATGGCTCAGCCTCCACAAATGGCCCTTCCGCCTGTTCCACCTCGTCTCAGCTTTATGTGCGCTTGTCACTCCACACCTGTTCTTGGGTCAACACCCAGGAGGCAGCTGGAGGACCATAAATCTCTTTCTGCCACTTACTCAAATCCCTTAGTCACAGTTGTCACAAACAAGTCTGGAGCACAAAGCACCTCACCCCAGGCCCGATCAAGTTTCCCCCCAAATAAGCAAGCCACCCAACCCAAGAGCCTCTAGTGCCCCCCTCCCCCCACCTTCAGTTCAGCGGCAGAGGGCTGCAGTGGTGGAGAGTGCAGACTCCAGTCCCAATGCTGGTTTCACCACTGATTAGGCCAGGGCACCTGCCCCCACTTTCAGTTCTCCTGCCCACCAAAGAACTAAGACTACTCAGTGAACCCCAACATACTGGGAAGCATCAGAGAGCATAGTGGCCATGAGCATTCAGGACTGGGATGTGCAGAATGGGTCTCCACCTTCCAAAAGCAGAGCAGGCCTCCTGCCCCTGGGGACTCCTTAACAGCCACCCCCACACCTACTTCAAAGCCCTGATTTTTTGAGAGGGCAAGAGGGGGCGTTTCTATGGGTTCCTAACTAAATCCACTGAGCCATGAACATCTTTGCATATGTTCTCTGTGAGGGCAGCCCTTCCCCCAGAGCCCCCTAAAGGTGTGCCCATGCCTCCAAGGTCCCCAATGCTGTAACCTCAGTCCAGTTATCAGGGTCACTGTAGCAACCCCCACCTCCCATGTCCCTCACAGGCAGGGGACTGCTCACAGGTCAGGGCTTTCAAGATGTCTAGGCAAAGCCCACAGCGGGCATCCTGCACCCATCCACCCATCAGCAGGTCAGGACTTGGAAACAGCACTGTGAGGTGATACACTTCCAGGCAAGGGTTACCCAGAGGTCTCCAGACGCACGAGAGGGACCAAGTGGGAATGTTCAGGCATTCCCCAGCCCCAAATTCTCAAATTCTCACCACAAACACAACCCACCAGAGAAAACAAAAGGAACACAATCCAATTTCTATTCCTACGTAATGTCCAGATGCCTGATCCAAATCTTATTTTATATAAATGTTCCCAGGGGCTGGAGAGATAGGACAGTGGGTAGGACGCTTACTTGGCATGTAGCCAACCCAAGTTTGATCCTCAGTACCCCATGTGGTCCCCCAAGCCCTTCCAGGAGTGATCCCTGAGTGCAGAGCCAGGAGGTAAGCCCTGATGACTGCTGCATGACCCCGAAAGTGAAAATATATATATAAAAAATAATTAAAATGTTTCCATAAATGATCCCAATAAAACATTTTACTGATATGCACAAGAATTGAGAATGGCCAGATTTTATTGTAATGTCCTGTTTCTCTAAACCACCTAGACCACCCCTAATAAGGCCGGGGCCACAGCAGACAGGCTGTGAGGGGACTGGAATGGCTTTGGGGCTCTACAGCAACAGGTGCGACCCTGGGGAACGACCCTGGGGAACCCTGGCCCAATAAGGCTGCTGCTTAGCAGAACCAGACACAGTCAAGCCTCTCAGGTCCCCACGCTGAGGTGTGGGGTGTCTCTGGCACCGGTCAGAGGAATGGGACCCAGTGAGGGAAGGAGAACCGGCTTCTAGCTCTTCAGCTGCAGCACAGCCATTTTTGACCACAGGTGAGCAGGAAGAGGTTTCTGGGAGCCATCTGCTAGAGAGCTATTTCCACACTTCTTGCATCTACTAGGGAACCAGCACCCTACAAGTACAATTCCAACTTTGCAGTCAGTCCTCCCCACCCCAAGAGACTGAATGGTGCAGAAACTCCAACACACTCTCTCACACACACTTCAGTCTAATATGTCTTTCCCCAGGGCTTCCAGCAAATATGCAGGATCTCCAGCTTGCGTGGGTGTGTGCGTGCGTGTGAGCGCGCGGCGCGCACACACACACACACACACACACACACACACACACACCCACAAAACAACAGCCTAACAGCCTTTCCTGGGGAAAGACTCAGGCCACCAGACCCGAAGCCACCAGACAAGTGAGAACGACCCTTCCCCCTCCCCACTCAGCCCGCCACTGCCCCCGACCCCTCCTACAGCAGGAGGCTGATTCTGGAGTCGGAGCATCACGGGGCATCACGTGGGCCAGGGGAGACCCACAGGGGCAGGCTTGCAGTGGGATGCTGATGCGGGCTCCCGGAGACAAGGACGGCAACAACAAAAAACACCACCACCACCACCAAAAAAAGCCAAGCGCACACCTCTGAACCCCCCACCCCCCAGCGACAGCAGTAGGGGAAACGGGGGCGGCACCAACGAGACCACTGGTGTCAGATGCGGAATCGACCTGGTCACAGGAAACCCACCAGGGCATGTAAGTCGCGCGCGCGCACGTGTGTGTGTGTGTGTATGTGTGTGTGTGTGTGTGTGTGTGTGTGTTTCCAAACACAGATTTGCTTGACATTCTCTAAACAAACAGACGGGCGCTAACCTCTGAGTTGGCACTTGGGCCGGAACTTGGTGGGGGAGCGGGGGTGGCTCCGTCCCCCCCCCCCCCCCCCCCGAGGCTGCATGCAGGAGTGGGCCGGGTCGGGAGGGGGGCAGGACCGACAACCGCTCTCCTGACACACGGGCCGCCCCCTGCCCGAGGTCCTGGGAGCCAAGAGGCCCCGAACCTCCGGACGGAAAGAGACCGTTTCCTTCCGTCCGTCCGTCCATCCCTCGGTCCTCTCGGCCCCTGGGCCTTGGGAAGAGCCACGGGGCGAGTTGGGGGTGGGAGGAAACGGAAGGCGGGGGGGGGGGGGCAGGAGGCCCAGCGAGTGTCCCCCGTCCCCGTCGCGCGCGCCGGGCACTGCGCCCCACCGGGGGGGGGGGGGGTCCCGGGGTGGGGGCGGGGGCGCCCGGGAACGGGAGTCCAGACCCGGCATGAAAGTCTGGGGGGCGCGGGCAGAGCGTCCAGGGAGCAGCCCGGGGACGCCGAGGCGCGGGCGGGAGACCCTCCTCGTGGCCACGGACGCCCTTTGGGTTTGGGAAGAAAAAGGGGAAAAAAGGAGAGAAAAAAAAAGCCAGTGAAGTGCTGACGGGGCCCGGGGCGGGCCTCCGGGAAGTCGCGCCCCCCAGCCCCGCGGGCAACGGGGCCCGGAGGCACGAGGGGCCCGCCTCAGCCAGCCGGGCTCGGAGAGGGACCCCCGCCCCCCACAGGCCCCGGCGGCGGGGGGAGTGAGGGTGGGGGGGGTTGGGGGGGGGGAGACGAAGCCGGCGGTCACGTGGCCCCGGCGAGGGGCGGCCTCAGGGTTGCGGAAGAAGAACCCGAGCGAGGCACCGGCCGCCGCCTAAGGTGACCCCGCGGGGACAACATGGCGGCGCGGCCGCCCCGCGGGCCCGCGCTCGCCCCTCCCGGGGAGGCCGACGCCACGGTACCTGCGAGCCCTGCCATGGCGCCACCGCCACTGCCGCCGCCGCCGTCACCGCCGCCGCCGCCGCCGCCACCGGCCGCCTCCGCCTCAGCTCGCCAGCGCTGCCGCCGGAAGCCGGGGAGACGCCCCCTTTCAGCTTCCAGTCGGGCCGGCCGAGGACCCCTGCCCGGGCCGGGGCTGTCCGCCGCGAACGCCTGTCCGCGCGACCCCCGCCGGGGGCCCCCCTCCCCCGACGCCCCCGCCGGTCCCGCCTCGGGGGGATTCGGGGAAGACTCGGTACCTACGTGTGCGGGTTTCGGGGCGCACCCGAGGCTTCGCGGTGGAGGAGATTTGAATCAGGCGCGCCGCGGACAGCCCCGCGCGCGGGCGCGGCCCCGGCCGTCTCACGCAGCTGCCGCGGACCTAGAGCCGCACTCCGGGAGCGCCGGGCGAGCAGGCGGGCGGCCGGGGTCCTCCCCGCGGAGCACCCGGAAGCCCCTCGCCGCCGCGCCCCGTGCGCCCCGAGCGCCCGAGCGCCCGAGCTCGGCGGGAGCGAAGGTCCCCCCGGACGAGTCTGAACTTAGGACCCGGACCCCGACCCGGCTCCTCCTCTCGCCCTGGGCGTCGGGCCCGTCCACCCGCGCGGGACGGCCCCGCTCTCGGCTTCCTCCTGTGTGATGAAACGCCCACCTCACGGGGGGCTGACCCGTGGCGGGGACCCGGGGGAGGGTTTTCGTGGCGGCTTCCACGCGCGCCTTGGGCACTTCCTGGGCCAGCGCGCGCCCCGCTAAAGTTTTTAAGTGGACCCCGTGGAGTCGGGGACACAGGCGCTGTTCTGAGCTCACCGAACCGCCAGTCCGGTGGAGGGAGAGTTGGGGCAGAGGAGAACAGTCGTCAGAGAAGATCAGGGTCGGGGTGTGGACGAAGAGATCCGATGTCAACTTATTTTGGGGGGTGGAGAGGGCACACCCCGAACTGCTCAGGGATCACTCCTGACGGTGCTCAGGGCAACTTGGAGGGTGCCCGGGATTACGACCCATCAAGCGCCTTCCTTAACTGTCCGACCCCACGATGGTAACTTTATTTTATTTTTGAGTGGAGGGCCCACTCTGCAATGCTCAGGGCTTAGATTCCTGCTCTGTGCTCAGGGATCACTCCTGGTAGGGCTTGGGAACCATATGTGGGACTGGGGGTCGAACCCTGGTCAACCACTTCCAAGGCAAGTGCCATGCCCCCACGTCCTGTCCCTCAAAGCTACTACCTCAATGTACTAGCGCCACGAAGTTCTTTTTTTTGGGAGGGGGGGGTCACACCTGGCGTTGCACAGGGGTTACTCCTGGCTCTGCCCTCAGGAATTACTCCTGGCGGTTGCTCAGGGGACCATATGGGATGCTGGGAATCAAACCCAGGTCAGCCACGTGCAAGGCAAACGCCCTACGGGTTGTGCTATCTCTCCAGCCCCACGAAGTTAATTTTTATTTATGTTTTTTTTTTTTTCCTGAAGTCTCAGGATGTGATTTTGGTTTCTGGGTGCACTAGATAGCAAATCTTTTCAGCCACCAGCAGTTTGGGCTGATGCTCATGCTTTCCATTCACTCAGTAAAACCCCCCAACATGCTCACACAGTGAAACAAAGCAAAAGTACAATAACCAGAAACAAAGAGATAGAGTCAGTGAAATTAGATCAAACACAGAAATTGCATCTCAAAACATTAAGAGAGTCAGGGGATGCCATCACTGGAGCTCAGAGACATCCGCTCACCAGCTACTGAAGAGCCTCATGGGAGAGACACGCAGGTGCCCCAGGAGGGATCCTTTCATCCATGGTGAAGGGGCATCTCCTGCTCTCCTGGTGGCATTTCCATGTTCAGATGATTGCACGAATCCACACCCTCCACTTGCTGACTAAAGAGCCAGTACCTGGGTGCTGGCCCGGCCACCACGGCCAGGCAGAGGTAGGCATAGATCGTAGCAGTCAGACCACCTGGAGCATGTGCTGTGATGTCCACACTGGGTGGCCAAGCTTCAGCAGCTGCTGCCAGGGCGTCCCTGTAGGGCAGGTTCTGTCTGGTCTCCGGGAAAGCGAGGACTGGACGCAGAGCCCCTCCTGAGCCTTGCACAGCTCCCAAACTCTCGAGTCCTTCATAGGCCATCACTAGCAAAAACACAGCCATGAAAGCTGCGGCCATGGCTACAGTTGCAGTTGATCACCCCCCCTCCCCCCCCCCCCCCCCCCCCCCCCAGCAAAAAGCAGCTCTGCATTCTTGTAGCCAAAGTAGAAGGTCAGGGGCATCATCACCGAAACATTTGCACTGCTGCTGTGGGAGTGTGGCCCCGAGGTGGTGGGGGGGCTACTGTGGTTCATGGTTCTCATCCCAGCGTGGTGGTCCAAATGGTCCATTGTCCCAGAAAATCTGAGTCCTTAGGCAGAAGAGTCTGGAAGGAAGATGGAATCCTATTGTATCCTGGAGCCTCTTCTCAGAGTCTCAGCAGACACCAGCTCACAGAGTTAATTTTTTTTAAGCTGTTGCATTTATATAAAATATATATACAGTAGTTCAGGTTGATAAAAATATTAGTATACAACAAGGAAGGACAGCCTAAAATAGTATTAGTATTTAAAAGCAGAGCTCATAAAACATTAGTTAAGTGAAAAAATTGGGGGTTAAAATGGAGTGATAGCACAGCGATAGGGCGTTTGCCTTGCACGCAGCCAACATGGCCGACCCGAGTTCGATTCCTCCGCCCCTCTCGGAGAGCCCGGCAAGCTACCGTGAGTATCTTGCCCACTCGGCAGAGCCTGGCAAGCTCCCCGTGACGTATTCAATATGCCAAACACAGTAACAACAAAGTCTCCAATGGAGACGTTACTGGGCCTGCTTGAGTGTCACAGTTAAGCCGGTTTATAAGTAAAGCTTATAGGAAACCACTTTTCATGTACAAGTAGTGTCAGTAGTCTCACTAGTAATGCAACCATATCTACAATTAAAATTACCCTTCCAAATTAATCTATAATACAATTTGTTTCATAGCCTTTAATTTTCAAAGAACACTCATTTGACTGACCAGTATCCCAATCATAAAAGAACAAATACAACATAATGCTGAGACTTCTTTGCCTAAAATGACAAGATTTAAGTGTGTGTGTGTGTGTGTGTGTGTGCAAAAACTAATAAATGGGGTGATCAGGGTGTGGCTGAGGCCATAGATGTGCTCAGAGCTTACTCCTGACTTTCACAAAGTTAATTTTAAACATATATATGTATATATATATATATATATATATTTAGTGTCATGTGGAATGTCATGAAAAATTAAAAGAGTCCAGGGGTCAGAGCAAGTAGGGCACTTGACTTGCACCTAGCCAAGCCGGGTTTGATCCCTGGCATCCCATATGATCCCCTGAGCACTTCCAGGAGTAATTCCGGAGTGCAGAGTCATGAGTAATCCTTGAGCATTACTGAGTGTGGCCCAAAAACAAGGAAATGGAAGGAGCCCTGGTGTAGGGTGAGGAGTGGGTGTGGATTCTCTGCAGGAAGCTGGCATGTAGCCTACGGAGACAAGGATGCTGAGGAGTGGTGTGGGTCAAGGGTGCAGGAATCCTTTAAACAGGCAAAGATAAGAGTGAGGAAAGGGAGTGAGGGCAAGAGGTGAGCTGCCATTGTGCTGGTGGTGAACTCTCCTAACTGGATTTTATCTTGAGAGTAACATGCCATTTTCAGCAGGGGAATGGTACCATGTTTGGATGTTTGGAAAAAACCATCTGGGCTTGGAAGGCACTGAGGTTGGAGAAACCATCGAGAAAGGGGTGGCAGCTCTGCGTGTGCATAGAGCAGTAGCTGGGGAAGGAGACATCAAGGACAGAGATTGAGTGTGGATGGGAGCTGAAGCATTGGCATGGGACATCCAGATTTCCACTTGGAGTATAAAGGAGTGAAAGAGCCTGTGGATCGCAGCAGACCTGGGTTCAATCCCAGGCATCCCATAGGGTCCCCTAAACATTGTCAGGAGTAATTCCTGAGTGCAGAACCAGGAGTAACCCCTAATCATTGCCCCTCCCAAAAGAAAACAATTATTGTTAAAAAAAAAACTTTTTTTTTTTTTTGCGTCACACTCTGTGATGCACAGGGGTTACTCCTGGCTCTGCTCTCAGGAATTACTCCTGGCGGTGCCCGGGGGACTATATGGGATGCTGGGAATCGAACTCAAGTTGGCCACATGCAAGGCAAAACACTTGCCTGTCCGCTCTGCTATCACTCCAGCCCCTCAATTTTTTTTTTAATTGAATCACAGCGAGATAGAGTTACAAAGTTGTTCAAGTTGTTCATGATTGGGTTTCAGTCATATAATGTTCCAACACCTGTCTGCAAACCCCCAAAATTTAAAATAGCAGAACAGTGGTGCAGCAGCAGATAGGGTGCTTGTCTTGTACACAGCTGACCTGGGTTCTATCCCTAGCACCCCATATGGTCCCCTGAGCCTGCCAGGAGTAATTCCTGAATGCAGAGGCAGGAATAAGCCCCGAGTACTGCTGGATGTGCCCCCTAAACAAAAAAATAAAAACAAATATCATACAATTAGCTTATCTGAGTTCTTGGCACCCCCAGATATAAAATACTAACCTTAAGAGATATGTGCATCCCCCCTAGTTTTCTGTGGCTTATTAGCAATAGCCAAGAACTATCTGGAAACAATATAGGTGCCCCTCAAATGATGAATGAATAAAAATGATATATATGTATACACACAATGTAATATTTCTAGATTATTAAAAATTCCTGCCATTTGCTAAAACATGGATACACCTGGAGGTTATTATGCTAACTGAAATAAGCTAGATGAATAAAAAAAATATACAACCTCATTCAGATAGAGTAAACAAAACACACTAAGTAAAACAAAACTGAACTCTTAGACTCTAAGACCAAATAGTAGTCACCAGAAAGGAAAGGGGGAAAAGTGGGTACATGAGAGCCCAAGGCACAACTGGTGAAGAACAGAAGTAGAGGGTCAGAGAAACAGCTCAAAGCATTGAAGCACATACTTTGAATGTGAGAATCCCGGGTTCTGTCCCGGCACCACATGAGCTCTATGGCAACACCAGGAGCAAATCCCTGAGCACTGAGTCAGGAGCAGACCA